GAACTCCTAGATTCTGTGGATTTTAATTTCCCGAAGTTCTCCAAGTTGGCAACTTACCCACAAAAAATTTTCACAGCCACAGCCAGGCGCACCTGCGGGCTGAGTTTGAACACATCAAAACCTACGTGAGCTGGGAACATCCCCTTAAAATTTCAGTTTTCCGGCCTTCCTTGTTCCCGAGTTAGCGCCTCTCCTTTTTTCCCGTCTCATTTTTAGCACCACATCAGTCCTCGAATTCACTTTTTCCCTTACTTATATTCAACCCAGCACCCCCTGACCGGAAATTTTTGTCAAATTTCGCAGTTGGCACCGTGCCAGCTCCAAAACTGACCGAGAAACACAGTAGCTGAAAATTTGTCAGAATATTTATCGTCCATCTGACGGATATCGTATGCCTAAAATGAGTCTCGATTTGCACTTGCGCCAGAATTTAAGGCACTTCGAAGATATTTGTAGCTCCAACTTCCCCTTTATCGTCGTTTTCTCATCCCTTCGATGCTCGTCGGTATCAAAAAGCTTTTAGCACTGAACTTCTTATTGGCTATCGCAATATTTCAGGGTATGTTTTGGTCGAGTGAATTGGCCGTTTCAACGAGCAAACTTGATGAGCTGCTGAAGAACGATACGGTAACGGTGGCTGATGTGCTGGTGGATGATTATACGATCCAGGAGATTCGCAACGGCAATGCACTGCTTGTCAAATTGTACGTCGTTTTTTTGGAAAATTTCGGCAAATTGGTGAAAAAATCGATGAATTTAGCCAAAATTTAAATACGCATCAAAATTCCCAGCCAAATTTTGCATATAAAAGGGCTACCACCGATTGACAAGAAGAATTTTTACATATTTCATCGTCGATGTCCTCAAAGTGTCGAACCCGAAGGCCCACCTTTCAGTACCACTTTACTAAAGGCAATAATGGTGGAAATTGAAAAACGTACGCTAAAAATTTTTACGGGCCCGTACACAGAGCTGGAGGCTGAATTTGAAATCTTTAATTTGTACATGAGCTGGGAAAATATCCCCCCAAAATTTCAGCCTTCCAGCTTTTCTGGTTCCCAAGTTAACGATTTTCTCGCCAAAAACTTTCACGGAGCCGTATGTGGCAACCACGCATAACGGGGGGTTGAATTTGATAAATTTAAGTTGTAGATGAGCTGGGGACATTTCCTGAAAATTTCAGCCTCCGAGCTTTCCTGGTTCCCAAATTAACGATTTCCTCGCCAAAAACTTTCACAGGGCCATCGTTCGTAGGAGCTCCGCATATACTCAGCCATTCAGGCTTCTCGGGTCAACCTGGTTGTTTCATTGGGTTTATAACAACAGTTTAGGGTAATTTGGGTACCACGTCCACGTTGTTTTTAGTAGAAAACTTTTACATTTGCTGTTTCTGCTAATTTTTTGACTGATTGCAGCTTAACGCGACAGGAAGTAGTGATTCAGATACTAAAATGCGCCCTGGAACCCGAAATCGATGAGTCTCTACCGCTTAAGGAACAGTACAAGTAATTGCTTGTCTTTTTTTTTCGTTATTTGAAACATTTTTTATTCAAAATTTTGAAAATTATCTCCAAAAAATTGTTAATTTAAAAAAAAAAGTATTATTTTTTTGCAAAAAAATTGTAACTGTTAATTTACCTAAAATCAAAAGTGCGAAGATTTTTTGAAAAAGAAATTGATAATTGTTAATTTATCCAAAATCAAAAAAGAGAAATTTTTTTAAAAAAATCTTAATTGTTAATTTATCCATAATCAAAAAGGGAGATTTTTTGAAAAAAAAATGATAATTGTTAATTTATCCAAAATCAAATAATTGGCTAATGCATGGGCTGCCCGTGCGAAGATATAAGTTTCTTGCATGGTTCCCCGCAGTTTTTGTCGCTTCCGGCACCGGTTTTTTCGGCAAATGATTCTAGCTAAAAAAATTAAGATTGATCGCCAGGGCTGGCAGGAAATACCCTCTTAAAATTTCAGTTTTCTAGCTTTTCTGGTTTGCGAGCTAGCGACTTACCCGTAAAAAACTTTCACGGGCCCATATATGGGTACCACGCGGGTAAGACTGCCTATTTTGGGGGTGGGGGCCCGTACGTGCATGTAGATTAATCTCCCAAAGTTTTAGTCCTAAAGCTTTTGTAGGTCTTGAGATGAAAAATCGGTACAAAGGCCCAGCGCACACACAGACAACCTCTCGTCAATATGCGTTTTTCGCATTGTGTAGCTGCAAAAAACGGATAAAAAGGAAAAATTTTTATATAGTAAAGTGAATTTTTCATTGCTAAACATGGTTTAGTGATAATTGGTGACCTTGATTGGGGACTGCTGCTCTTTTTTTGAAGCATTTTTTGCTTATTTTTAGGAAGTCGCATCTATGCACGGAGATTTTATCACTTAACAACGAAGAGCTGAGCGCTGCAGTGATGGAAAATGAGGAAGCGTGTAATTTGCTGTTCAGTTTTTTGAATGGCCAAAAACCGAATCATGTGATCGCAAGCTTCTTTATGAAGATTTTCTCACAGATGATCAGTCGATTTCCGGATCAGGTAATCATCCATTTTTAGCGTTGTGACCAGTATTAAGACGGATATATGACTTAATGGACCGAAACGTCTTACCTCATTTGTTCTTCCTTCCATTTTCTTCTGTTTTCTATCTTATACACCTTCCTCACTTTGATACCCAAGATCAACCTGGATGCTACAATCGGCTTAAATGTCTTGATTCATTGGCCGTACTTTTCTTTGTTTCCTTCCGTCCATCGTTAAATTGACAATCGTTTTGGGAGAAATGTTGAAAATTCTAAATGGCACTTTTAGTTTTTCATTATCAATATCGCGACCCTAGAAGTTGATAAACTGGGCTAGTGGAGTGCTCTGTATGTGTGAGTATGTGTGTGTGTATGGTATGTGTGTGTGGTATGTGTGTGTGGTATGTGTATGTGTGTGTGGGTATGCATGTGTGTGTGTGTGTGTGTGAATATGTGTGTGTTTAGGTATATATATATGTATGTGTGTGTGTGTGTGTGTGTGTGGGGGGGGGGGGATGAACACCTAGTTGTATATGTATATATACGTATATATACATGTGTGTTTATAATTACATAGTTTAACTAAAGTAATACAAGGAAACGTAAATTAATAAAAGGCGGTGCAAAAAGGGTGGTGAGGTTTTTCGGGACTTCGGCTCTCCAGAACAAGGATAAGAAGAAGAAAATAGCTTCTCGAGTAGTTGGTACTAGCTGTGAAGTCCTGGGGATGAGAAGGAGTGCTTTTATACCCCAGGGATCAAAGATTACTAAGATTGCAAAAATTTATCGAAGGTAGGGTGTCCAAAGTTTGAACCAGGGACCGGAATATTGCATCATAGTGACATAATTGTTCTTTACACCATTTCTAACAAAAAAAAACGATAAATCATTTCATATATTATATGGCATCAAAATTCGATTTGTCTTCCTCTCCATGGTGGGCCAACAATGCCAAGCAAACTGCATATGTTAACACATGAAAGATTTCGGGTCCCCGTGACTCTTTAAGTCTCTTAGCTAGCGACTTCCTTAAAATTTCTATAGCGCGGGCAAAAGCAAAGTATGCAAGATCGGAAACGAAATATGCAAATTTATGCAGGGAAATATCAACTGCAAACCCATGATTTTTACTTCTTTTTTTTTAGCTTTCCAAATCTTCAGAAAATATTCATTGCATATCTTCTTTAATCCCCTTACCCCGGTTTCTTTTCACTTTTTCATTCCCTTTTATCACCCTTTTCCTTACATTCCAAAAATTCCTCCAAAACCATTACATCGCCTTATGGGACTGTCACATAATATATCAAATAATGTTTCATGGTTTTTTTATAGAAATAGCGTAAAGAACAATTGCCTCACTATGATTCAGTACTCCGGTCCCTGGTTCAAACTTTGGACACCCTACTCTCGCTAAAGTTTTGCAGCCTTAGTAATTTCTGACCCCTGGGGTATAAAAGCACTCCTCCCCACCCCCGGGATTCCAGAGCTATTTCCAGCTACTCGAGAAAGCTAATCTCTGTCGACTTATCCCTTCGGCTCCCCAGAACCTCACCACCTTTTTTGTTTTATTTTTTCTTATTTTACGTTGTATTATTTTAGTTAATTCATATATTTATAAATATATATATATATATAATTGGGGCCTTCAATACACACATACTCAGGGCACGCTACTATTCAGAGTCATCCAGTACCGGCGCATCCCTTACGGGTTCCTACTTCCTTTCGCCCACAGGGCCCAAACGGCTTGTGGGGTCTTTTACTTATTAACTTTTAGGGCCGCGACAAGGCGAACCTCGAGGAAGTGTTTAGTGAAGGAGGAGATAGCAGTTTTAGCTCAGCTGTCCAATTCTTTTTTGGTTTTTAGCAAACTTATTTACAGATATTGGCACGTATGAAAGAGGAGCAGTTTTTGGGCCAATGCCTGAGAAGTATGGAACATGCAGCAGTGATGGAGCTCCTGCTTCGGCTAGTCAGCTTCTCGTCGGATGTCGAACAGCAGGACTACGTGAAACAAGCATGTTTCTCCATACAAAATATGCATTACTAACATCTGGACTCTTCCATTTATATAAAAAGAAAAAAAAAACCACCAGTGTTATCCCAAGTACTTGACCTACTTCCCTCCGCTCACTAATTCCTAACACTTCTACTATATTCTAAATAATTCCACATTTTACTTTATTTACCGCCTCCACTTCATATCTCCCCTTGCTCTCGTTTTCCCTTCATAAATTTACGAAGTCCAGTCGTGGTGTTGAGCTAAAACGTATATGACTTAATGGACCGAAACGTCTTAACTCGACTGTTTTTCCTACTATTTTCTCCTATTCCCCCCCCCCCCCCCCCCCCCC